TATATTCTACTTTTGGCACTAACCTGACAGGGCCTGAATCTCCATCTGTGGATGATACTTGCTGAAAACTTTCCAGGTCCCAAAACTTGACTAACCTAAATAAGAACATATGATCTTTAAAAAACAGCTTGTAGGTATAGTTATATACATGATTTTGGTAACAAGAGACATGTGATGAATAAAATAATAAACTAAAAATTAGTCACAATAACATTAATTTACTAACTTCTATATCTGTTCAAACATGTCACCTTCATTTGTTAGTTGTATACGCTAGAAAACACATTAGGTTTATCGTTAAAAACAATGGGCTATATGTGCTGTGCCCACCACAGGTGTCAAAACCTAGTTTTTAACATTATAAGCCTTCAGACTTAACCACTGAGGCCTAATATTTTTGAAAAAATTGGTATAATTTGAGAGGCTGGACAGAAATCACCTGATAAATTTATAAATTATTTCAATTTACAAACTGTACTGCTCCAGTAACAACGATTTTCTTTTAGCATTACACATCTAATTCTGGATTCATGACATAGAATTGAAAACTACCTAAAATCACAAGTTTGTGTGTATATGAACACTCTTCGTAATAAAAGGTAACGACCAATCATGTAGAGGTCACAACTTAAACACAAACAAATTGTTTTTACTTGAAGAGGCCACAATGTTCAAAGACAAATAGCATCACTTGTCAAGGTCATTCTAATGAAAGACAAACACACTACTCAAGGTTACTCTAGTAAAGTTCAATTTTAATCACAGGAAGTGTCACTAGTCAATATTACTCTACTAAAGTTCAATTTTAATCACAGGAAGTGTCAATAGTCAAAATTACTCTACTAAAGTTCTATTCTGAAGTCTAATCATAGGAAGTGTGTCAATACTCAAAGTTACTATTCTGAAGTCCAATCATAGGAAGTGTGTCAATACTCAAGGTTACTATTCTGAAGTCCAATCATAGGAAGTGTGTCAATACTCAAGGTTACTATTCTGAAGTCCAATCATAGGAAGTGTGTCAATACTCAAGGTGACTATTCGAAAGTTCAATTTCAATCACATGAAGTATATCAGAAGCTAGGTTGCCAACCATCAGTAAATTTACAGACAGTCAATAAAAACAAGGCATTTTAATACTGTAAATAAACTCATAAAAAGCAAAAACTGTTCTGTCTTATTAAAGATGGTGGTAAAAATTTACAGTATCACTAAAACAGGATACTGTCCATATATCGTTAAGAATAAAATATTAAGGTTGGTAACCTTGGTCGGTAGTCATGATCACTCCACTAAGTATCTATTTCAATCACAGGAAGTATGTCACTCATGAAAATTATTTCAGTGAAAAGTAACATTTGAAGGAAGTGCAACAGTAGACAATTAGAAGACCAGTCACAATATTAGATAAAATGTTCCTTGTTAAGATCATTGAGCTGAAGGCGAGTCAAATGTTTGATATTTAACTGTAATAATCATCTTTTGAAGTGTAACCATTTGTGTATTTACTTAAGTACATGACAGTTTTTTTTTAGCAGCTAACAGCAAATGATAAAACAACTTATACTACAAAATACACTAAGAATATCACTATAAATTTGGAATCATTTTAATAGTTTTTAGTAAACAGATGGCGCCACATGGCACAAAACGACTTTGAACCTGTTTGACCTTTGGCTACAAGACTGTACATTTATGACATATCCAGATATTTTGGACTACCTATATCAGGGGTGAAATTATGCCGGTACTGAGTATCGAAACTTATGTTTTACAGCGGTACTAGTACCAGGACTTATCTGAGCTGCTTTGTAATTTTTTATATTTACACATAGATTTTCTTTTTAAAAAACAGGTCCACTTCACCCAGCTGAGTACCTCCACTTTTTTTTTGAGCCAACATAAAGATCAATATGCTACAAAGGCCACCTGGGAGAGACCACCTGATTTAAAGCATACAAATGAAAAGTAGGGCCCCACATTTCTGCATTCACGAAGGTAAACAACACAATTTATCAGGTATTTCAACCTTTTCCTTTTAAGCCTAGTTTCACACGTAACATTATTAATGAAATTTATTTTCACTTTCCGGCAGAAACATACTGAATATAGCAAATACATGTACAAAAACACAACTAAACTAGTTTTAGTAAACTGACTGCTAGAGATTAAAAGTTTGTTCTCAAGAACTAAAAGGACATGCCACGTGTCCTCCACTTAAGAAGATTCTTGTGATAATAAGATACAAGAGTTTGTTCACTGGCTTGACGACTAAATTAATAAAGTGATATATTCCACATGCTTACACCATGTGCGAGTTAGAAACTGAGCATAGAGAAGAAAATCCTTATCTTCACAATGGAAATGGCTATTCTTGACATATCAGTTAAATCAAACAGACTGCTATCATTTTTCTTGTCAGCATAAGCAAGAAACAAAAGTTGAGGTATTTAAGGATGTTTACTGTTTAAGGTACAGAACATCGAGATCAACTTAACATAACCAAGAAATACAAATATCAATATGAGGCTTGGTAATGTGCAATTAAAATTTGAAGAGGAGGAACTATTCAACATCAGTGTGATGTTTAGATGTGTAACTTGTTATTCCAACTGATCACAAGGAAAACAAAAAGTCACGTTAGACTTGGACAACTAATCTGTTAAGCTTGAGATTATCTTTTAAGCAAACTACATGCCTGTCTGTGCTTCCACTGGCTAAAAGAAACTCATTGGGATGGAACTCAACATCCAAAACAGGTCCTGTGTGTCCCCTGAATTCTGTCAACATCTTGCCTGCAGGCAGGTCCCAGAGCTGCAGAAATAGGTCACACCAGTGTATTAGCATGCATACAAACAACCTATTCACAACAAGTTACTCATTTAGTCAGTTCATTACAAAATGTGATAAAGTGTTTAATTTTTTAATTTATTAAAGTATTAAAACTTTTAGATAAAAGAGTAGACACAAAACATGTGTGTGTGTGTGTGAGTATTAGCTGTAATAAAATATATCCCATAAAACTGTCTTTAATTTAAGATCTATCTTTTCTTGGTATTAATGATCAGACAATCAAATCAAAATTTCTTGACCAATGTAATCCCTAATTAATAAATAATATAAGATATGAAACTACATTAGTCCAACTTCAAGAAACTTTTAAAGCCCAAAACAATATTTAATAAAAGTTTAATGCCATTCATTTAAGTTTTTTTCAAATCTAAAACTTTTTTAAGAAATAAAAAGAGAAAATGTATTTATCACAATTTAGAACTATGAAATATTTAATTGTTTTTAAATATTTCTAGAACAATTATCTTGTCTGTTTCAAACAAGTATTAGAATAATAAAAAAAAAGAAGATAAAATTACCTTAACAGTTCCATCATCTCCAGCAGATGCAATCCATTTGCCATCAGGACTAAACTTAATATTATTGATCGGTTTATTGTGCCCCTAAAAACAACAACAAAATTATCTATTTACAATAGAACAGTAAGCTAAGTCAGGTAAAAAAATTCATGAATGATTAAATTTACAAATAAGTGAAAAAAAAAAAAGAAATAAATGTATAAAATCACTCTTTCACGAAGGACGATGAAATGAAAGAAATTGTAATACTGCTTAATACATTGTACATCATGCTAATACAGAAGTTCTAAACTTTACAAATAAATGTCAAAAATACAAATACTTTAAATGTAATATCAATCATTTTGTAAAAGCATAAGTACAAAGGAAAACAATTTTAGAAAGATATCTGATTTTCATTATCTTAATATATTTAGATTAGAAAAGTATGCAACATTGAGACTACTGAGTTAAGTAATCTGAAAACAGCACCAGATGGCAAGTGCTTAGTTTTTTAAGCCAGCATAAAGATCAATATGCTACAAAGGCCACCTGATTTGAAGAAAACAAATGAAAAGTAGGGCCCCATATCTCTGCATTCACATAGGTAAACAACACAATTCTTCAGGTATTTCAACCTTTTCCTTTTAAGCCTAGTTTCACACGTAACATTATTAATGAAATTTATTTTCACTTTCCGGCAGAAACATACTGAATATAGCAAATACATGTACAAAAACACAACTAAACTAGTTTTAGTAAACTGACTGCTAGAGATTAAAATTTTATTGAAAAAAAAATAAAACAAAAATTATTTCAGTTAAACATTTAAAGACAAGTCTAAGAACTTGAAATTTCTTTTACACAAACAGCTTTTAGTGAAGTTATAAACTTTTTTTTTGAGGTGGGTGTAAAGTCAATAAGAACAGATGCCTTGAATTAACTTCTTTTCATGAAAAATGAATGCCTGCATGTTTGTTTGTTTGTTTTGAATTTTGCACAAAGCTACATGAGGGCTATCTTCGCTAGCTGTCCCTAATTTAGTAGTGAAAGACTAGAGGGAAGGCAGCTAGTTATCACCAACCACCACCAACTCTTGGGCTACTCTTTTGCCAATGAATACTGGGATTGACCATCACATTATAATGTCCCCACGACTGAAAGGGTGAGCATGTTTGGTGGAACGGAGACTCGATAGCGCGACCCTCAGATTGCGAGTCAAGCACCCGAGCCACCTGGCCATGCCGGGCCCTCCTGCATGTTAAACATATAAAATACAAGCCAAAACACATATCAAGGGAATATAGTTAACTGTTGATGAACTCGAGAAAAATGGGAAAGAGTTGACAACAGCAATAAAAGATAAATTAAACCTACAGATTTTCCCATCAAAGCTAAAATCATTTCCTAAATTGCTTGATACTATACACGTAATAAAGCTGGGGCTTACCTTGTAAGTATAGATACAACCTTTTCTTCGAATGTCCCACAACTGCAGTAAGATAAAAAAAAATGTTTATCTTAAGAACTTACAAAATATTATATGTTTGCTGATGGACTCTACTAAAGAAAAACTACTGATTTCTACTTCTGTGTTTATGAACAAGATAAATTCAGATGTGAATATAATGAGATGGACAGACACAAGTTGCTGTGGGTTATTATCAGCCCCAAATTCTTAAGGACATTAAAGTATAGTATACTGAGTTTTAAACAATAGGGAAGACAACAAACAGAACTAAAAGAAAGAAAAATGTAATAAATAAGTATTCAATATTAAACAATGTCAATAAAGAGAAGATTAATTAGCAAATTATAATGCCAATAAAAAGATTAATTAACTAATTACAATGTCAATAAAGAGAAGATTAATTACCAAATTATAATGCCAATAAAGAGAAGTTTAATTAGCTAATTACAATGCCAATAAAGAGAAGTTTAATTAACCAATTACAATGTCAATAAAGAGAAGATTAATTAACCAATTATAATGCCAATAAAGATATTAATTAACCAATTATAATGCCAATAAAGAGAAGATTAATTAGCCAATTATAATGCCAATAAAGATATTAATTAGCTAATTATAATGCCAATACAAATATTAATTAGTTAATTATAATAGAATATTCTATTCTTAAATATTATCTATTTATGAGATCTCTTTTTCCCTTTTGCTTTGGTCGTGTCTAAAGCAACTGTAATACTTTATTTACTGAGATGTAATTCATCATTAAACTAATCCATTTCTTTATTTTATGTGTGTTTTACATCTTCAAATCTACATACACAGGTTAATGTTATAAGTATTATTTATTTCTCAACAGTTTATATCATTTAAGTAAAAAAATAGTGTTATTAAACCTCATTAATTCTTAATACAGACACATAAATAAAAAAGACAGTAAAATATAAACTAATATTTTTACAGTTAATAATATTAACTTTACCTTTATGTTTGTGTCTAATGAACCAGAAGCAATAAAGTCACCATAAGGATGGAAGTCCAGACATTTTACATTTGATTTGTGTCCTGTTAACGTCCTGAGAACTAATATAAATAAAGACAAGTTAAAAAATTCTAATAGTTGACCGACTAATTACTAAATATAGTGTGAAAGGAAGGTTACAGGGTCACAACCATTACTGTGCTCAATGTACCAAGTCAACTCTAGATATAAAAAAAATTGTTCCTAGAAAAATATTTAATGTTGAATATTTAAAATATCTAAAATTGCTAAATTTTGTAATATTGGTTTGTACCTGATTTTCGTTTTCATACAAAAATATTGTGATAATATTATTAAAATATCTAACAACTTACTTTAGTGAAGATACTTTGTCTTACCGCCTAAAAAACAGCCTAAATAAAATCCTTTCACCAACAATCTATTATTTCCACTATATTCAAACTTTACTGATAAACTAACAGAACAAAAGCATATTGGCTTCTAACTGGCTGCAGGCTGGGTCAAACTGGCTTCTAATTGGCTCAGGGTTGGACCAGATTGTTTTTTATTAAATTTGTATTTGTGTGGGGAAACACATAACGCTAGGAGACTTGTATATGTAAGACAACGATTTGTAAGCCTAATGAAAAAATTTAATACATACTACATGTATCAACACTGAAGAAGACAGACCAATGCTCTGTTGAAACATGAAATTTGTATCAAATTTTTTCATTATGCTTACAAATCGTTGTGTCTTGTATATATACATATATATACAAGACTTTTTATGAACTCAAATTAGAGCAAGTCAACTTTTAAACGATTCACGGTCAGAGAGGGTTTGTTTGTTTGTAGTTAAGCACAAAGCTATGCAATGGGCTATCTGTGCTCTGCTTACCACGGGTATCGAAACCCGGTTCTAGCTTTGTAAGTCCACAGATATACCGCTGTGCCACTGCGGGGGGCCCATAGAGGATTAACTATTAATTACCAAGTCAGACCAAATTGTGATCAACTAGGTTACAAGTACCATAAGATCAAATTCGCTTGGCTGACAAATCAAACCATGTTGAAATCATTGTTAGCCTCAAGTGAAAGCAGATTGACTT